GTGGTGGTGGTGGTGGTGAGGGTGGAGGAGGTGGAGGTGGTGGCAGAGCGGGGAGCGCGCGTTCGGGCATGCTTCCATAGCTCAGGCCCGCGTCACGCTTACCCACGCCTGAGAGCGAAAACCTAAATCATACCTCAATTGTGCGGCTGGTCAGATAGCAGCCCTTCTCTGCAAGCCCAACAGGCCACTGGGCCAACGCGACACGCAGGGTCTGGCTGCTGACCTCTGTGCGTGCCGGTGCGCCTCACCTTTCGGCTGCCTCGCCACCTGCGTGATGCCGCTTTCCATCCCGTCCAGCAGCTGCCAGTCCTCCCCCGCCACCATCTCAAACTTGCAGTATGCTGTGTCGCAGCCTGGGATCTGTGGTTGGTTGGGGCAGTGGGTGGGACCGGCATGTCAGCAGCAGCAGCAGCACCAGCGATCGCAATCTAAACACATGAAGAGGGCATCTGCACACTGTTCTCTGATCTTATCCTTTGATCATATCATTCAAGGACTGCATTACTTTTGTATTGGTACACGAGAAGACGAACCTCTCCTGATTCCAGCTGACCGCTCGCCATCACGGTGAAGAAGCTTGCAGCTTGTTCCATAAGTGCTGTTGTGAAATCACTAATAAAACACTACAAGTGTGTGCCAGCTCGCTGGTCCTGCGTTGTGATCTGGCACCAAGCTGGCAGCCTTGAGTTGGACAGCGCGATATTGTTAAGGTACAAAGCTACAAACAGATCAACGAGTTGCTACACGAGCGAATTGGAAGGCGCGCATCATTATCAGGTGTTGGGGCTCCAACCCAGTCAACTGTTTGACCGTCTCTGCTCTGCGCACTATGGCCAGTCACCACCCAACAGAGAGTCTGCACTGCAGGTGGTCGGCTTGTGAGCGACATAATTGATGGGGACAGCATTGGAAAGGTCTTGTCAAATGTGTGCATTGATGAAAGCCAGGTTTACACATTTGGCCTGTGTGCGAACAGGCTTTGAATGCCAATGCCACAAGCGCATCACGGCGCGCAGGTTGTATCGAGGAACCCGCATCAGGACACCTCCGCGAGCAGCGCCATTCCAAGGGCATCCTCCCCCCGCCCCTCACAGCCCTCCTCCATTCCATCTTCATCCGGCCAATCCTCGTCTGCCTCTACCACCAGGACAGACCCCACGACCTCGTCCCCAATACTGACCAGATCAAACACCGCCGTAGCTGCCGCCGCCTGGGACAAGCCCGAGTGCCCTTGAGAACCGGCCGCACCCGCACTGCCTTGGGACCCGGTGTTGACCAACGGGGACGCGGCAGCCGCAGCCGTCACAGAACCTGGTGCTGCTGCAGGTTGCGCCGAGGGGCCGCCTGCCATGGGTCCCTGCGGTTGAGCGAGCTGCCAGTGCATGGATGCTGCGCCGCGCTCCTCTTGTGAAAGGATGACAGGCTCCTGCCGCTGCTGCTTTGTGGGGCGCTGCTCCTGCTGGTCTCGGCCCAAGGAGTGAGGTCCAAACAGCTGCCGCGGGCGCTGCTGTTGCTGCCATAGCTGACCTGCCGCTGTCTGCTGCTGCTGCTGCTGCTGCTGCTGCTGCTGCTGATGATGATGATGATGATGATAATAATGATGATGATTATGGTGATAACTGTCTTGCTGTTGCGGCTGTTGCTGCTGCTGCTGCTGCTCCTGCTGCTGTGGCTGCTGCTGCTGCTGCTGCTGCTGCTGCTGCGTCTGCTGCTGCTGCTGTTGCTGCTGCTGTTGGTGGTGCTGCTGCCACCTTCTTGGCAAGTGATGAGGGGCCTGCTGCTGGCCGTTGTGGTCCAACATAACCCCATGCTGCTGGGCCTGCTCCCTCAGCCGCCGCTCGTCGCTCTTTGACAGGACCCTTGCAGCTGCGCCGCCGCCGCCGCCACCACCACCCGGGCTGCGCCTATAGTCACGCCGCTGCACCGCCGCCGCCGCCGCCGTCGCTGCCGCTGCTGTTGCAGCCGCAAGCCCCGCCGGCTGCACACCTGCCGGCCGCTCTGGCTGCTGCGGCGTCGAATCTGCCAGTGGTGCTGAGTGACTGGAGGAGCTGGGTCCAAACTCTGCGCCAGCGAGCCGTGCCTGAAGCTCGACAGCCCAGTTGGGCACACCAACAGCACTCGCCCCGTTCGCGACGTTTTCCAAGCTTGCAGCTCGCGGCCCCGCCGCGCTGTCTGCAGCCGCGCTGCTGCCGGCTGCTGAGGGGGCCGCCGCTGGCCGCTGCTCCCTTACCACTGCGCTGCCGCCGCCGCCGCCGCCGCCTCCACCAAGCAGCCGAGCGAAGGCGCCCGTGTCGAACGCCCCCGGCCCCGGCCCCTCGTCCTTGATGTTGGTGGCCCCAAGATTTATGAGAGACAGGTCGAAGCTGCCGCGCAGCTGCTGCCTCAGCAGCCCCAGCGCCGCCCTCACAAGTGCGTCCGCCTCTTTCTGGCCGGGAGGGCCCGCCAGCGGGCCAGGCAGCGGCATGGGGACGCTCGCGCCGGCGCGCTGCCAGCCGGCGCCCTTGCTGCGCCAGCGGACGGTGAGCGTGTGGGGGCGGCGGCGGCGCTCGTGCCACTCCTCGTGGATGCGGGCCAGAAGGTCTGGCGCGAGCACCTTCACAATTTCGGAATTTAGGGGGGCATGAGATGGTTTTGGGGCTCAGGGAAGAATTCAGGGGTAGACATGAGTGAGGCACGTGATGAGAGGCTGAGCCGCCCCCATGGGTGTCGATGCTTTGGTCCAGTTTCCCAATTCAGAGTGTGCATCATGCGCCCTGGACCTCCTGACCAACCTAACACACCCATTTGCTGGCTGAGCGCGTCATCCTTGCAGCAACAGCCCTGCCGGGCAATACACACATCCCCAGCCTTTTCTCTCAGCACGCGGGGAGTGCTCATATCCTGTGACGAACTAGTGCGCCTGGGGCCGTCGCCTCTCACCTGCAGCACCGCGCGCACGGCCTCCCAGGTGGCGCACCCCGCGAACGAGTCCTCCACGGTGATGCTCTTGGGCGCGGTGGACGGCCGCACCAGTGAGGGGTCTAGCCCGCGGCACAGCCCGTGCACCATGGCGCCTGCAGGGGCGAGAGCACAGTATGGTCTAGATGTTCCTCCCTTCCCTGCCTCGCCTAGCGCACCCAAGCCACACTAACAATAACAAAGGAGACCCCTGGCACCATGCTCTTTCAAAAACCAGGGCCTGAGGCCATAGCATCGCCCAACAGCAAACAGACCAGCCGGTATAGCTGCTCATGTCATCAGCCAGTTCTCATAACTCCAGTTCTCAGAATCCCCAAAAAGCAGCCGAAGGCGGGGCCGGCGCACCCTGGCTCTCCCCTAGGGTGGCGGTCAGCCGCTGCAAGCTGACGCGCCGCAGCTCGGCCACCGTGGCCACGCCCAGCTGCGCCAGCTGCTGCGCCAGCTTGTAGCCGATGCCTGGCAGCGCGCGCACTGGTAGCGGCTCCAGGAAGGCCTGCGGGCGCAGAGTGCAAAATGCAGCGTATGCAGCGTGCCCTGCATCAGGGTTGCGTCGCGCAGGCCCAGCCCTTCACGTCAACCGCTCCTCAGGGGGGGGGGAGACGGGTGTAACGCAATGCCAGGACGCTGAAACTTGGAGGCGGCACGAAGCAGAAAACACCCTGACTGCATCACGTTGTGGTCCGCGGCGCGCCCCGCAGCCGGAGCCCCGCAGCGCGAACGAGAGGCGGCGGGGCGGGCCGGGCACGAGAAGGGCCTTGTCACCGCGTGCGCCTCACCCAGGCCTCCGGTGGTGGCAGGATGGTCTGGTCATCTGGTTTGTGAACGCCGCTGACTAGCTTGGCCAGGAGCTTGTTGCAGGCAATGCCTTTTTTGGCGGAAATCAAAGAGGTGGTCGGCGCGGCGATGTGCATGCGGTGGGAAGGGCAGCCGGGGGTTGATGTGGGCTGACAAAGCGGTGCGCTCGTGCACGTGCCATTTGGTGCTTGTGCTTGCTTTGTGTATGCAATTGGGACCGGTGCAGACGGCTGCTGTATGTGCGCTATGATTGAGGCGCGCCTGTGTTCATCTGTGGGTTATGGACGCGCGGCTGGGCCGAGGCACGGGCTCACCAGCGGAAGAGCGGAAGCCAGTCTCTGCCTTGACCGCCGCACGTGCCTCCTGTGCTATGGCGCTCCCCACCATCAGCCGTGCGACCCAGGCCGCCGGCTGCTGCGTTGCTGATACCTGCCATGGCTGCCCAAGGAGCGCGTCGTCTGCTACCTCGCGGTGCTGCTGCTGCTGGTGCTGCTGCTGCTGCTGCTGCTGTCGCTGCTCCTGCTCCTGCTGCTGCTGCTCGAAGGCCTCGAGCACCCTCTCATCCTCAAGCTGCCATCCTTCAGCCCTGCCCTCCTGGCTCTCCAACTGCTGCTGTTGCTGCTGATGCTGCTGTTGCTGCACCTGCTGCACCTGCTGCTGCTGCCGCTGCTGCTGCTGCTCCTGCTTCGCCTCCTGCCCCTGCCGCTGCTCGTGCCGGCCTGCACTCTTTCCCGGCGGCGCACGCAGGTCTTGGGGCCGGTGCCGGCTGTCCGCGATTAGTGGCGCAGACCCTGAATGGAGGTGGCCGCACCACGTGAGCCCCGGCGGCGGCCGCCCGCCCCACGCGCGGAGGCGGGCCTCCACCTCCTGACGATGCGTGGGGTTGGGCGCAAAGGTGTTCAAGTCGCATGCGCGTTGCTGAACAAGCGGGATGCTCACTGCCTGCAGCAGCAGGAACACCAGTTCGCGCATCGGGGCAGCCCGCGTTTGTGCACCCTTCATCCCTCCTTTGGCTGCTGGTATGCTGCGGTTTCCCGGTTCAAGGCAGCCGCCAAGACCCGCGCTCACTTGGGTCGCGTCGACAAACAGCTCGTCCATGCCGAGGCGCTGCGCAGGGCCGAAGCGCTGCAGCACCGCAGAGATGGCTTTCGAGGCGGCGCGGTATGGGGTCAGGTCCTCCCCGGGGATCTGGTAATCAATTATTCGAAGGTTCGAGATTAAGCAAGTGTGGTTTGTGTGGGTTGCGACCTTGCGCAGTTTGCCAAGCGACTGGTCAGGATTGAGCTGGTCTTGAGCGATGTCTGGCCCAGCTGATCAAGTGGCCTTCTTCAACACGCATGCTGGTGGGCGCCCTATGCGTAATATGCCTTACCAAGCAGCTCTGCGCGCCCCCATGCAAACCCAGTCGACCCACCAGCACCAAGCTAGGGCAGCGCCTGAGGCCCTCAGATATGCCCATAAGCTTGCCTACGCCTGCCGCCCTGCGCAAGCGAGGCGCAAAGCGGGCTTGTTTGGGAGACTCCGACACATGCAAACTGCCTCGCTCGGAGAGCATGCACGGAGACCGTAAATGTTCGTGAGGGAGGGGGTGCGAGTGAGGGTGAAGGTGGAGGTGGCTGCGCTGCGCCTGCCATGCAGGGGCCCACCTGGCGGGGTAGTTGCAGGTGACTATGAGGTACCTGGCAGGGCACGAGGCAGGACAGTGCGAGGCAAGAAATGCGGCGATGCACGTGAGAGCGTGTGAGTGTGCGTGTTGGCGTTGCATAGGAAGACGCTTGGCCAAGGGCGCCCGCGAGCGTGATGATTGTCAAAACTGGCACCTCTCGTAAAAATCGTTCAGGACGCAGCTCAGGATTAGAGCGAACCGCCGCGTCAGGCAGGGTTTTGACTGCAGCCCAGCGGCGCAACGCAGACGCCCACTTCTGCGTGACGCCGATCGGCTTGCCGGCCAGCTGCGGGTTTCGCAGCTCCTCCGCTTGAGCGTAGAAAGCTGCGGCGCCAGGAGTCAAGGGTGGCGGGGCGCATGACACTTGCAAGGACATGTTGGATGCGCACCGCGCACCACACACCACAGCGTTGTCCTGGCCTTCCTTGCAACCATTCTGCGTGGCCCTGTGCGCAGGCGGTTTCACGAGCCCCCTCACAATCGACGTCGAAATGGAGGATGACAGCAGAGGCTTGAGGCTCCACAAGCTGGCTGTTGCCTGCCGCCCCTCCTAGCCCGGCCGCGCCCGCGCCGTCGAGCTGAGCGGCTGCAGGCTCCATCCGTTGGGGCAGGGCCCCAGCGTGGTGCTGTCCAGGACGATGGGGCGGGCTGCGGCGCCACGGGCACACTACCCTCCACCGCTCGCCGCTCGCTGTGCCAGAAGCACACTGCGAGCAGTGCAGCGTTGTGCACGCTTCGCGTGCCGTGCGGCGCCAAAGCGCGGCTCTGTGTCTGTGGCTCCCGTGCACTCGCTGGGATTCGGCACGGACACTAGCTACACTTTCATAATGACATGTGCCTTTTCTGCAGCTGCTGCTGGTGTGACCGGCTGCAGTGTCACTTTCAGAGACCCCTTGTTTTCAAGTAAAGAGGAACGTTCGATGCAAATGTATACATGCACATCACAGCCGCGTTGGCATTGTCAGATCACATACCGAAAATGACCAGTTGATCTAGGGTGCTGCCTGCCGCCTTGCAGAGCAGCCAAGCAAGAATGTCCGTGGTGGAGGACGTTGTGCGGGTGTTGAACAATGCCAAGCTCTCCTCGGAACCAGCAAGCAAGGTGTGGGATCTGGCAGTGTGGTTACTGCATGTGCAGTCTTTGCAGAGAGGGCCATACCTGTATGTATGTGCATTGTAAAATTTGCAAAGCGTTAGGTTGTGGCAGCCGCCGCAACCAAGCGTGTTGTCGGCGTGGTGCGGCAATGCAGTTGAGACAATACAGTGCGTCGCCCGCCGCAACTAGTCGCGCCTGGCCGTGCTCCCCCCTGCGTGCGCGCCGCGCGCACTCTCATGGCATGCCAGCTGGCGCAGCTGCAGCGGCTGCGGGAGCTGCTGCTGCAGCGCGAGCCGCAGCTGCTCGACACCTTCATCGACGAGCTCGCGCTTTTCCAGGTGGGCTGCACCACCAGCGCAGCCGCGCCGACGCGACATGGCTGCCTCGGTCGCGCGTGCTGCGGCATCTGGCAGTGACGCCCGGTGTCTTAGTCGCCTCAACTGGCGGCGTTTTGGTGACACGCGGCCATGGATGCTGGGTTCTGCACCGGTCGGATGCGCGAGCACCCTGCCCCGCTGGCGCCCCGGCCCCCTTGCAGGTGGACCCCCACCCCTCCGTCCGCCGCTGGCTCGCCGACTTTGCCGGCGCCGCCGCCGCGGCGCGCCCGAGCCTCCCGGTGCTGACCGGCGCCGCGCAGGCGCTGGGAGGGCTCGCGGCGGATGACAACGCCTCGGTCCTGCAGCTGGCAGCGGTGGCCTGCCACCCAGTGCTGCGGCTGTCCCTGGCCATGCACGCGGCGCAGCTGGTGCGGAAGGACGGCTGCGGCGGGCCGCCAATGGGGCCGGGTTACTGCGGTCTTGAGCCAGGGTCGCACCAACATTGCTGAGGCACTGAGGCACGGTCATCACATGCGCCCGCGTCAGCTTCAGTTTCTCAATTTCCTGCGTCCGGCGTCAACAACAGCCGTTAACTCAGCAAGCTGTGAAGCCGGCTGTGCATGTGTTGCAAGTGTCATGGCATCGCATGTCTTGTAGTGAAGAGTTGATGCTGGCCCACACACTGGTTCTGTGATAGTGTCCCGCGTTCCAGCGGATGCTCCTGATTGCCATCCCATGACAGGCCGGCGCCGACGCCGATAGCACGTGGGCCGCGGCGCTCGACCTGCTGGCGCGCGCCACCAAGCTGGCGGGCGGCGCCCCGCCCGGCGCCGCGGGGCCGCACGCCTCTGGCGCGGCCCCAGGGTCTGTGGCGGCGCGCCTCGCGGGGATCAAGCTGTGTGAGTCGTCCGCACTGCTGCTGACGTCAGAGCTGGCGCCGCTGGTCGTGCCAGGTGGGTCGCGGCGCGCGGCGCGCGTCTGGCGGTGTGCGCTGCGGCGCGGGCGCGCGACCGCCGGGTGTGCTTGCTCCGCACTGACTGCGCGGCGGCGGGGCGGGTCCGGTGCGCGCAGCGCTGCGGCATCATGCTGCCGAAAGCTGCAAGGGCGGACTTTGCGGACAACATTCGCTGAAGTGGGGGCGCGATGGGCAGAGCAGGACCGACATAGTAGCTGGTGTGAGGTTGTCCACTGTAACCACACGGCATTCAATGCAACAGCCTCTGAGGGCCACCTTGCGGCTGGCGCCACCGCCGCGGGGGTGGCAGGGCGGGGCAAGCCCATAGTGTTATGTGCAATCCCTGCGCCGAAGCAAAACGGCAGCGCGGGGTGCGTCCGCGGCGCGATGCAACTCGTGAAGCCACAGCGGGCGGGGAGGCCGCGGGGCGCATGGGCCGGGCGAGGGGCGCAGCTGCTGCCGCAGCGACAGCACAACGCAAGCGGGCGGGTTTCATGGAACCCGGATCGGCCTGAGACAACACACAAATCTCAACCCTGCTGCAGTGCATGCCGTATGAGATCCAAGGCCTCGGCTCCATCACCTCCACACCTGCGCACGCCTGCCAATGTCAACACATGCGCCAAGGGCGCTTAGCGCAGCTCCTGCAAGCAGCACTGCCTTCTGCACCCCCAAATGGCCCGCCTTGGGGGCCTTCCCTACCGCCACCCCCTAGGCTGATGTCAACAATGCCCACCTGCCCCCCCCTTTCTGCGCCCATGTAGTCCCGGGTCAGTACGGCCCACCCATGAGGACGCTGCCGGACGCGCCTGCCATCACCCAGGCGGCGCGGGAAGCCGTGGCGAAGCTGGCCGAACTGGTGGCCGCGCCCTCGGCGCCGCAGCTGCCCGGCCCCGTGCTCATCGGGGCGGTCGGCGCGCTCGCGTCGCTGGCGCAGCGGCGGGCGGCACTCCTGCAGCCGGCGCTCGTGCCTCTCCTGGCGCTTGCGAGCAAGGTGGGTGGGGGCAAAAATCTAGGGCGGGCACACGCCTTCGTACGTGCGCACAGGGAGCCGGCGCGACTCAAGGCGTTCTGCAGGGCACACATTATGCATGCAAGCCGTGCGCACCAAACACGACCGGCCACGCTTGCCATGTTTGAGGGCGCGCCCTCCACCATTCCTACTTGGCCCCCCTTTCACAATTCCCCCTCCCCCCTGCGGTCCACACGACCGCGCCCCAAACGCCGGATACGCTGATGTCAGGGTGACGTCAGGGCGCCCTCGCCCGGCGACGGCCAAGACGGAGTCGCGGCGAGCAAGGGCGCCGCGCTGCGCGCCGCGCTCGCGCGCCTGCTGCGGCTGCCCGCGGACCACCTTGCGCCGTGGCGGGCCCAGATATCCCAGGCGCTCGCCGCGATGGGCGCGGGTGCCGCCGCGGACTCGGCGCAGCGGCAGCTTGCCAGGTTGGGCGCTTGCGGGCAAGCGTCGTCGCGGGCGTCGGGCGCACGGCAGCGCGACGCTTCCGGGCTTGCGCGTTTGCACAGCGAAGGCCACGAGCCGCGGGGGCCTGCTTGCCTTGCGCTCTCTTGCGTCATACAATCCTGACACTGACCAGGATCTGATGAAAGATTTCAAATCATTCAAGCTGCTTGCTGCGCCTGGCATACTTTGCCCTCAGAAGGGCCCATTCACGATCCGCCCGCCCTTCCCTCCACGGCCCACCCCCGTCACTCGACCGACAACCCCAGGGCTCAGAAGCGCCGCCAGGACGCCGCCGGCGCCGGCTCC